GCTAGCGAACGGATAAGGAACCGGAGGCTCTGCCTTCGCCCTCCGTTTCACGCGGCTGGGCGCGCTCCTGCGCGGGGTGACTTCACTGCGGCCGGGGCCTTAGTCGTAGGCTGGGAGGAAATTGGGAGGAAATCCCGCTAAAGGCCACCGTCCGGGCAAGTCGGGCTGTGTTGCTGCTCCAGGCTCCGGGCAAAGATGTGTTTGGGATGCTGGTTTCTGCCCGTCTCTTGCAAAGAGTTGAATGGAAGTTTCTCAAACGATTTTTTCCCACCCCGTGCCGACACCTTCAATTCCCCCAGGAATCAAAAGACTCGCTTGGTTCCTCTGTTGATCCTGGGACCGCGCGCTGTGCCGCAAGGGATCCTTGCGGGTGAAGGCTACGCGGCACAGCTCCAAGTGCTGCTGCTGCCTTCCGCGTCTTGCTAAGAAGCATGGTTATTTTTATTAAAATGCCCCCCAAGCTGAATGTCATCAGCGTAGGTGGCTTAGCTGAACAACGCGTTGGATCCTCGTCTCCTCCACAGCCAAGGCTTTATTCTGTCCTATAACCCAAGCAACTAAATCTTCCCAGATCCCCTTGGAGAGTGGATTTATACAAGGTGTTATCCACCCAGATGTTCACTGGGTAAAACGCACATCTGTGCGTTGAACAAGAATTTAGAAAATCCTAATTAAGCTCTTTTTTTGAGTTACTAAGCAAGGGTTAAGTGGTATCTTGGCCTCTGGAAGCTCAGCTCGCCCAGAGGCGACTTGTCCTCAGTAAATGTGCCTTCAGACTGTACCTACACCTTGCAACGTGGGATTGCTTCCAAAATACACAGTAAGAATCGATTCACCTATTTGCTCGTCCGTGTTCTGGACTGGAGCCGACAAATTGCCATTCTGACACAGACTATTGGGTTATTCTTCTATATCCTGATATTTACCAAGCTGAAATTAGCCAACTCCCTTTCCAAAAATGAATCCCTTTACCCCTTCCCACCCTCTACAGTACCGCAGCCGCCGAGTGAGGCTCTTCCCTGTGCCTTAGCCCGATCTGCAAGGTGGCATTGCTGCAACTTTCGGGCGTTCTTGGGTTATCCTTGTGGGCTTTACGCTGCTGATTGCTCCCTGGTCTGCGCTGTCATTGCTGTTTAGCGCTGCGGTGCCCGACGGAACGGGATTGTGGTTGGTGTTGTGGATTCCAGCATAACTCTAGGTTGTGTTCGGTGCTTTTCCCTGACGCTGCTCACAAAACGGTGTGTTGGGAACCCAAATACAGCTTTCTGCTCCCTCTTTCCTCCTCGCCCTGGCCCAAGAGAAGACTTGCTATCAAGGAGCCTAAAATGTTGTATTTCCTTTTAAAGCAGGAAGCAAGGCAGCGAAGATAACCTGAAATGCAACGACCTGCCTAACGTGGGAGAGGAAGAAGTTCTTTCCTGAACATCGACACTGTGGTTCTGTTGAGCAATGTGGTCTGGGGCACCTTACGAAGTGTGCAGCCGAGGAGGACAGCTATTAACAGAGCCTACACCAAACACAGCATGACATGGCGCTATTTCAGTATAATGCTGGATGTAGAGCTTACATAGCAGCACGTTGTAAGACATCCGACTACAGTACTTGTCATAAACATTGAACATCTCCGATTGCTTGGACTGCTGACTTATTGCGGGAAAGGTGCCGGCGGAGACCCCAAAGGTGAGCTATCGTGTTGAGCAGCAACAGCGCTTTGCAAAAAAAAAAAAAAAAAAAAGGCAGACAAACAAAATGCAGTTGAGACTGCTTTTACGTGGTTTTAATGCCAAATAATTTACAGGGACTATTGTCAGCGTCCCGGGGGAGCGTATGCCTGTCATATACGCTGTGGGCATACACACAAGTGTGAAGCATTTGCAAAGCGGCGTACACAACAGTAAAACTACACTTATGCACTTTGAGAGTTCACAGCCTACCGGAAATGTTGCATCTTTTCTTGTTGTTCTGTTTTGTTTTGAATTGACATGTTTTTAACTGCATGGGAACAAAGCGCAAAAAAAACAAAAAAACAAAAAACCAACCCCACCTCTTCAGCTTTTTTAAGAACGCCTACCTTTGTGAGCCAACTTGTATTAAACAGCATCTTTGGGATGTTCAGAAAGTAATGCTAGTTACAGTGTTTGAGGATGCCACTTTTCCTAAGGTCTTGATGTTGGTATGACTAGAGATTCACAAGTTAAGTATTCAGTGTACGAAAGGAAAAGGTATTTAAGGGCTTAAGTTCGGTCTGAACTTTTTTTGCTGCAGGCATGAGTGAAAGATGGTGTTTAGCTGAATGCTTGTTTTGAACAGCAGAGGAAGCACTAAAAAAAGTTTGTTTCTAAATCTTTTACTTGATCTAGATACATATATTATTAAATATAAAATTCAGGGTAAAATCCTTCACTTCCATGTACATTACATGGTTTACTACAACTAAAAATAATACAATACTTCTGCTATTTTTTAAGTATAGACTTAGGGCTTGCTTAGAATTTAAGATCTTAACGAAATACTTAGATGAGCTAGTAATTTTCGAAGGAACTTTTATTTTCCAAACTCTTAATTTGGATTTTTTTGGGGGCCAATGCTATGTATTTTTTGCAAGTTTGTTACCAGTAGTTTGTGAATGCCTGTGGATCAGGGGCTTGTTAGCTGAGCTTAGTAAATTAAGTGTATACCTAATACATGGCTTGTTTCTTATGAAGAGCTCTTTCACCTTCAGTCAGATTACTCTGATTATTTTGTGGTGCTTGCAAAACCTCAGTAACACGCGGCAGGATAGCCTCTGGCTTCTAGACTCGCTTTCACGAGTTCGCTGAGCTCAGACAAAGCTGGAGACCGGCGGAGTGTAGGGGAGCTGGCTGCGCGTCACGCTTTGATTGAGGAAAGGGGTCACGGTAAGCGCAGTTGTGGATGGTGGGAGGAACAAGGGCTGGCTTCTTTTCTCAGTCCTGCTACTGATTTGGGTGTGCGACCTTGAATGAGTCATTTAAAACAGCTGCGCACTTGTAAGATGAGGATGAGTCAATTGTCCCAACTTTGTAAGGGGCTGTTAAGGCTTAATTCTTTGTCCAAAGGAGGAAGGCACTATATGCGCCAAGTATTTTCCTTACTGGTAAGATCTCTGCCTACCAGCTCTGGCCACAGATGCCCTGTTGTAGGCTTTTAGGAAGTGACTGTTACGTTGCCATCCTCAGTTGTGTGTGCAGCAACAGAGCGCTGATGTTCTTGGTCCTGCCACAGTCAGCCCTGACCCAGCAATTCCTAGTCACGCCAGGCCTCTGTTAAAAGTCTGGCCAGTGTTAAGAAGTGCGCAGGTGCCTGCACAAACTAGCCCTTCGTCAGGAGGGCCCCTGCATCTTCTGATCACATGAAGCAATGCTTCCCTGAGATTTTATTTTATTGCCAAAAAATTGTACTGCTGGCCTTTCTCCAAAGCCAGCGACTACAGCTTCTGCAGAGGTTCGTGGTTTAGGAGCAGTGCTATGGAGTTTGAAGCCATGAGACACAGTTTTCCTCCCGGTTTGGTCTGAGGCTATGCCAAAGCTCTGCATCGTCAGATACGGGAAAATCAAACAGGTAACGGATGTCAGCACTACTGCTGCTGCCTACTCCACCCCCCCCGCCCCAACCCACCCCCCAAACAAGACTTTTTATTGTGGAAATAATTGATTGAGAATGGTCAGTTTGGTTGTGTAGCTTGTAAATTGACTTGTTCTGGAGGGAGGGGAAAAAAAAAATCTGCTTGTAGCCATTGCGGAGTAATGTGTGTGGCATGTTTTTTGTTAAAAGTGAGTGAGCTGTAGAGATGCTTAGTGCTGAATAGCTCAGTTTTGTGATATGGCAAGTGCCTGGCAAGATAGTTTAAACTTACCAAACAAGCTTGCTAGGTACAATGCAGCTTCTAAACAGAATAACCTATCTCAGTTCCTAGATGCCCAACCACATGGTTATTGGGCTTCAGCTATTAGCATGGATCAGTGTCTTGAGGCCAAGGTGGTGGGCTTGGTTTGTGAGCACCTGAAAGCTCAGCACTTCCTTAAAACGCACCTCAAAATGACCGTTAGTGCCAGCTCCAGTAAGGCTGCAGCCAAATGCACGTTTCTGAATGAAATTTGATGTAATTTCCTTGTTGATTAGTTCTGTTGAAAGTATAAACCTTGGATGTTTGAGGAAGATCTCTTATCTAAATGCATGACCTGTTAGAGAAGCTGTACTGTATATACAAATCTGCTCAGTTCTGTATCTGCTGTTTAGTAGTCAAGCTAGCTTTTTTCTTATAGTGAAGTAAATATTTTGCTTGTGCCTTGGAACTGGGTTACAGCTTGATTTTTCCCTAATTCCCTTCCTTTTAAGCAAGCCCAGTGCTGACTGTATGGTTACTGCTGGGTACTAAGCCTTTTTGGCTCTGAAAGCACATGGGAAAGTGTTAAGGGGAAACCAGGCCTCTTGTCTTGAGTGGTTTTTCTTGGTGGACCCCCCTCTTACCTATCAGGCAATTGATCTGTTTCTTTTCTAAGGTCCTGAAACTATTGCTGATTTTTATACTGTTTTGTTTAATGACCGAGGCTTGTGTTTCATTCCTACCCCTTTATTATGCATTTAACTTTATCAGGTGTATCAAGTTTAAATACTGTGTATTTATCACTTTTAAATTATATTACCTAAGGAAAAAAAAATAGGTGTTTTTCCACACAGCTGTTCAAGCTTCTCTGTACAAGTTGAAATAAACAACATGCAACCAAACCCAGAGTTAGTGTATCAAGTGGAGCCATTATCTTGTTTTACCAATCTTTCACCAAGCTGTGGGAGTTTGCTGTTTGGAAGGGGCGTGGGGGGGGGTTGTCTGACAGCACCGTCCCCTGCTGCTGTGGTCCGGTGTGCCCTTTATTGGGAGTCATGGCTGAGGAAGAGTCTGCAATGGCTCTAGCCATTGCATAATTGAAACTGAGCCAGTCACATTCACATACTGGAGGGCTCACTCTTGGAAAAGCACTGTTTTGCGTTGTTACTCTCGGCTTAGTCCTCAGCAGCGCAGGGCAGATGGTATCAGGATAAGGAATGAAACAAAATTGCTCAGCGGCACCAGGTAATGCTGCGGCACACCCCCAGCACGGCTGGAAAAAGGTAGCAAAATGCCAGCCAGGATGACTGAGGTCTGGAATAGCTCTCAGAGCTCTGTAGTACTAGAAGAGGTTCGGAGAAAGGAAGAGCTATTCTTTGCATGTCAGTGCTCTCACTAAAGAAGCCCAGGGACACCTGAAGACGGCGGTCAACAGATGCACTTAAGTCAAACTGAGCAAGCACATTAAATGCAGCAGCCCAGATAGCAGGCCTGGGGGTGAAAAGTCCTTCAGTACCAAGGAATGGAGGTATGCCAGGGAGCATCTCTCTTCCTCTGAGCATTCGTTACTAGCCTTTGGCTAAGGCAGCACTGGGCTTAACCCATCCTGGCCCCTAATTTCTAAGCCTTTCCCCTTGGGTAGGGTTTTAACTCACATGAGCTTCTTCCAAAGCAACAGCCACAGCCAAGGTGAACTGTCTGCCCTGCAAATGGAGATGACCTTAGAGAACCTGGTCTGTTAGGAGAACCAGGTGAAGCAGACAGACTTAGCTGTCACACAACACTCTTGCTGAGAGAGTCCAGAGGCAAAGCAAAAAAACAGCACTGGCTTTGATAGCTCACTAGTAAGAGTTTCTGCCAGTGTAAAATGAAGGCAGTTAATTGGCCCTAATCTTATGGGCCCTTGTGAAGAAAAACAGCTTGCAGGCCTCCAAGATGGCTGATAGAGGGTAGTACTTTATTAAAAATGACAGTCAATTTTAAAGTAGTAGCATAAAAATAGTCAAACTAGAAAAAAAAAAACCACCTTGTAATCAGTAAGCCATTCACTGTAGCACAATAAAACTTGACACTGGCCTCAGTTTGTGGCCACTGGAGCCTGGAGACACAATCAAATAGTGGGTACAGTCTTAGCTAAACAGCATGATCCTTCACAGTAAGGAAAAGTGATTTGAAAACAGCAAGGAGTGGTCTGCTGAGGCTAGACAACAGCTAGCAGGGGCCCTATTCACTGTAAGGAAGAATCTGTATCTGCTAAGGGCTCTGCTACTCTCTGCTACCAATGAACTCAGAGAAAGGAGGATTGTTGAAATGACCATGACAGAGCAGTCCCTGGCCCAGCCTTAGCTTGTGCAGAGGCCTGGCACAAAAGCATGAGGCTCTGTATGGGCTTTGTTCAATTACCCTGGAAAGACAGCAGACGGGAAGCAGATCCAGTTCTCTTTAGGGGGTAGGCTCTGGCCAGCAAAGGTGATCGAGCAGTGAATAGGGGTGGTTGTTCCCTCTTTCCGCCTCCAGAAGAAAAGGAGGGGGGGGGGTGTCTTATGGCAGGTTCAGAGTAACATTCACAGCAGCAGTTCACATTCAGCAGTTGGTGCTGCAGCAGCGGGAGGTCAGGAGTTTGTCTCACTGCCACTCTGTAAGAAACAGAGATTAGGTCTCTTCTAGAAACAGTGTCTAAGCAGCATCACAGCCTCTTTTACCTGGAGAGACCAGACTCTGACAAACTGTCAGAAAACTGGTGTCTTTCCCCCCGCTTCCTCTCACACAAAACCCCTCTGAACAGGTAATCTGCTCTCATGCAGCTGGACTCAGACATCCCATTTCTAATGCCAAAAGGCCTTTTGCTTCAGCCTCTGCAGCACCATCTCCCACTAATCATGGGCCTGCAGGGCAGCGCTCTACCCCCCCCCCCCCCCAGCCAAGCAGCCCCACAAGGGGCAAGAAGACCTAAATCCTTCTCCTGGTCAAAAGGATCCTTTAGCTCCTTAAGGGAGGAGCTAGAGAATACCAGCACATTTCATGGCTTTATCCAGAGCAGCAGGAGCCCCCACAAAGGCCAAGAAGGAAGGATTTGATGGGGGACAAAACAGTTGTCTGCAGTATGCAGGAGGCAACTGCCAAGGACTGCAACTCAGAAGAGAGGTGCAGTGGGAGTGTGACAAGTTCTTGTGAACATACACTTCCCTCTTCAGGAGTGGTTACCCAGGAAACATGACAGTATTTCTTTCTAGTGCTTCTCCCCTCCACAGATTTGAGGTAGAAATTAGCTTCTCTGAGGAAGACAGAATTTCCTCAGAGATGTGGTACAAAGTCCATGTCTGATGTCAACTTCACACATCCTGTTTCAGAGAATCCCTCCTGAGTCAGAGAAGAAAGCAAATTCGCCTTCTCTCTGTCTTCACGCTGCTTACCAGTTCATAATCCTCCACATATTTGTACTTCTTCTCTCGATAGTAGTATCGCTTCTTCATGCAATACAGGACAACAATGTCACACAGGACAGTTGCCTAAGCAGAGATTGAAAGAGTTTAAGATAATGATCCTCAGAACCGAGGCACCAATTCAGAATTCAGTCCAAGGGCAGATAGTGTCACTTACCACTCCAAACAGCGCTAAGCCAGAGCCAATGTTAATCATTGTAGGAATTATGTCAAATTTTCCTGCCTAGAAGACAGTTACAGGAGTGAATTTTTTTTTTTTTTTTAAAGCATCTCTGAAAGCCCTTGCCCAAGACCTCTAGGAATCAAGCGGCCCTACCTTTCCAAACACTATGATATCAAAGCGGATGCCATAAGCTTTGGCAAGCGTCCGTGATTCAATGCCATTCTGATCCTTGTAGTATTTTGCAAACCTGAAGAAAAGGTGGGTCAAAGCTTAGCTGGGAATTTGGCGGTCGCTTAAGTGAGCCTCATGCAATACCCAGGTGTGTCTCCCATCCCAAGAGACTGGGCTGAATATGTGTACTTCCAGAGACAAGCCAGAAATGATGGAAGGAGAGTACATGCAAGCAAGCACATCTAAGGAGAAAAGCCCAGAACAGGCTAGCTCAAGACAGCCACTAGCATCAGCCGAGTCAGGAGACTTCTGAGTATAGGGAGGGGAGCAAGTTAGCTCTAGCAGGGAAGGGGAAGGACAGAAGGGGAGAACTCCAGCTACACATTAGACTTGGCCTCCTCGGACAGGGGCAGGCAGGAGGCTGCAGGAGTGCAGGCAGCCACGAGAGGGCAGGGCTGGGAGCAGGCAGTGAAGCAGCAGCACCGCAGCAGAGCTCAGCCTCGCAGGCAAAGGCAGCTCCTTGACCAGCAAAACGTGACTCGCAGGCAAATGATGGGGAAAAAGGAACAGAACAAATAAGTGAGATCAGACTTACTCTGTCACATGGTTGACTAAGCCAGGAGGAAGAACAGAAAAGAATGGAAGAAAAGAGGAGTGATTGATATGGGGCTGCACCACATTCTGGCATTAGCAAGAGCACTTCAGAGCCTGCACCAGCCAGCCTGCCACGTCCCACAGCCTGTCTGAGCACAGCACCAGCCTCAGCACACCTCATACCCAAACACCTGCAGACCTGGCACCTACTAAACACACCCTTGTCCTGTCAGCTTTCTCACGACAGCAGTCTCCCACCACATCCTGAAACAATCCTCCTTGGTTTCTGCTTGAAGGAGGGATTGTGCAGACCCAAGATCACAGCCCTGGATGGCAGTAAATTCACACAAGTTCTACTAAACAAGCTTCCCTGTGCTAACTGAGAGTCTATGATTTTAGAAGCATGCATAGCCCTGAACCTTGTCTCCTGTTATGATAGCTCTGAGCCCTGGTGCAGCTAACTACCCGGCTCTGCACTTGCTGTTTTACTGAAGGTGCTGAATAGATCCTTACTGGGCAGAGTTTATATTGTGGTGCTGTATGCCAAAAGGATACCCCTAGTGCAGAGTTGGTTTTAAACTGACAGACCCACTTCCTGTAGTTATTAGTGGAGAGTTTTTCCTCATATTTTTGGCATAGTGAAGGAGGCCCCACACTCTCCCACCCTTACAGACTCTGCTCCGAAAGACTGCCGTATCAGTCCACCTTGAGAGGATCAGCTCTCACACTGACACGCCACAGGAGGCTGGCCCAAACGGTCTCCCAAGCGCTGATGCAAGTATGACTCATACAATCTGACGTAATCAGTGGAACTTCAGTGACCTCCCCCTCTGCTATGGCTTATACACAGTGAGGATCTGACGTGCTCTAAGTTTTACAGCAGCAGAGAAACTCCCCAAGTAATACCTCCAAGGTGAGGACCTGACCAGGTCAGAAGAGTGCAGGCAGCCTGTATCACTCTCCTAGTGGCAGACTGAGCCACAAGGACAGCAGGGCCACGTTACCTGAAGTTGTATCCAGGTGACACAGTGTGGGCAGAGTCCTTGCTGTCAAGGCGCCGGAAGGAGTACCTTGGCACACAGTGGGAAGCAGCTCTGTCAAGGTTGCAGTCCCAGTTGATCTGCAGCCCCATGACTCCACCCTGCAGAGCAGAAGAGAGGAGAGGAGAAGGTGAGCAGGAGAGTCCAAGTGCCTGGTCAGCCTAGCAAAAAAACTCTTCCCCTCTGCCTTGACTTTGCACTTATCCCCTCCCAAATCAGCCAAGACCAAATATTTAAGTAGAATTTACTCCAGGCCCCTGGCCAGAGGAGTTCTCCCTTTTGCAGCCACTCTGTGTCCTGTGCCTGATGCCACCAGGCACAGAGGAACACCACATACTGCTCTTCTACACAGCAAAGCCCTGAGAGAAGGGTCTGCGAAATACCTCCACAGCCATTTCTTGGAAGTTCTGCCCTGCAGCTTCAACTATTTTCCCTAAACGAAAGATAGGACAGAAGGGATCTGTCTGGGAGTCATAGATGCAGTTCTTGAGGTAGGTGGAGTTGATAGTGGGGAGGATGTTTCGCCTACAAGGGAACAGAGAGAGAGAGAGAGAGAGAGAGAGAGATCTGTTACATCTTCTTCCCACTTCTCCAGCTCCGCTTGACTTGACTTCAAGAGCCCAGATAAGGCTGTGCCTCACACGCTACTTACTTGCTGAAGTTGAACTTAGGATACCAAATGTTGTTCTTCACTAGAATGGTAAAGTTCTCAGCTTCTTGTAGGAACGCTGGCCTGTAAAACAACAGGGAAAGTAGGAAAGTTTCACGTCACAAACCTCGTGACACTGCAGCAATATCCCAGTGTGGACAGTTACTCTCCTGACTGAAGAGGCGTTTGTCCAGTACTCATGCTATGTACAGATACGGAACAGGATGCTCCAGGGAAGCTGGATGACAAACTAACAGCCTTTAATGCTGTGCTTACCGAACTGACTGAATCACAGTAATGGCTCTGCTAGGCAGTCCTTACTGCACAGCCATGGGTAGTGAACAGGGCATCACCCAGAACTGCTGAAGATTAAAGTTTGTTTCAGCTGCTCCATGTTACTCAGCTGACGAGTCACATCCCTTACCCAGCTGTGCACAGAGCTGGCTGTAGAAAGCATGACCCACTGTGGCTGCTCCTTCTCATAGGCAACGACAGCTCTTGTTTTTTTCCCCCCGCTCCCAGACTTTTTCCCCCTTATGGCCCGGCTTGGTTTCTCTGTCACAATACCTGCAGGGTCTTCAGTGATCATCTCTTCAGCTTTTCCCAACTGGAGCCCATAGGGAGAAATATCAGCTGTAGCCTGCCCGACAGTATACTGCTGACCTCCTCACAGGAGGGCCAAGGCAGAGTAGGAAGACAGGGCGCTCACCTGGGTATATAAGAGTCATTCTCCACAGGGCACCATGCAAAGATCTCACAGGTCTTGATGCTGCTGTTATACAGTACGCACTCCCCAGTCTGAATACCTGGAAAGACATGAACATGGAGACACTAACAAGCAAAAAACAAAGAGGCAATATCTGCCCTGTCATGTCTCCTCACTGCATAAGGTGAGAGCAATCTGCTCAGAGGTAAAAGTGTCACTACCTCAGCCCCTCATTATCCTCCAGTGCAATTTGTAGTGCAAGTTCAGAAAGAGAGGCATCAACTCCTTTTCTGAGTCAAATCCTCAATTATGCATGTGAAATACTGCTTCATGGACTTGAGGTCCTGAAAAAGCCCTCACACTGTTTGCTAACTTGCCAGGCACACATCTGTCCAGCATCTACCCAACACAGCAGGAGTCTAAGCTCATCTGCTCTCCCCCAGAAGAAAAGATCTGGGCTCCCTTTCAAGTTCTGAGGTGCAAGAGAGTGAGAGCAAGGGGACTCAAGTGAAACACGGTTCCCTTCACAGGAGGGAAAGCACAGCCCGGAAACAGCACAACACAGATTGAAAGGTGCCCCTGCAGCAGGCTTCCTACCATTGCTGTGGGTGCCAACGTATCCTGGAGCACAGTCTTCCTTTGCCGTGCATATTGTTGTATCATCTGGAAGCTGGAGAGAAACAATAATTACACTAAAGTCCAGAAACTCTCCCTCCCCACACTCCCACCCACATAGGTCAGGATTAGAGCCTTCCAGAGCCAAGCAGATCTTGTACCTACCTCAGGGCAATGGCCTTGCGTCTGGTTCAGTGTGAGTATCACATTTGTCATGACAAACAGAGCGTTCTCTTCCTGAACATGCAAAACAAGAAAGAAATTTAAGAGTGACAGTTTACAAAGAATACCCAAGGTGTTGCCCCAACAGCCTGTGCTGGCAGAGCCCAGGTGGCTCTGACAAGTGGACTTGCTTTGGACAGTGCAGGTTTAGTACTAAAGGAGCAGGTTCCCACTGTATCCCCTGACACCAGTGCCTTCAGGCAGAGGAAGGAGTGTGGGACTGGTAACCCTGCCTGTCTTCCTCCTTGGCCAGTTTCCTCATTAACATTTTGAAAACAGAGATCACAGAGCTCCAATGGCATCACAAGGTAGGAGCGGAAACAAGGCTCCAGCTGCAAGTTTGAGCCGAACACCTTTTTTTTTTTTTTTTGTCTCCAATATATCTATTGGAAATTTGACCAGTCTTGGTTTGTTTCTGCAGAGAGCACCACCTCCATTACTTTCAGATCCCTACCATTGGAGATCTGTTGTTTGTTTTTGCACCACTGATAGGTAAATGCAATCAGTCAGCTAAAATGTGGCTGAATGTGTCACTTGTTTCTGCACCACATCTCATGCAGACAGAGTGAACTGTAACTGGCAGCCTGGCCATGCCTGCAAACACTGAAGGCCACGTATTGCCTGTTCGGTGTGGATTCCCATAGACATAACGTTAATCAGTAACTTAGAGCAACGCTTCCTGTTCAGTTCCGGATCAAGCGACTCGCGGATTATTCCTACAGTTTCTGCCAACAAGTTAACATTGAGCTGTTTGCTTTAGAGAGAAGTAGGAGAGAGGACATGTGGTTACTGTCACAGCTTTTCTCCTGAAGCCTGCAATATTCTCTCCCCTGCACGCTCTCTCTCTCCTTGAAACAAGTTTCCCCCAGGAACTGCAGATGCTCAACGTGATCTGGGACAAAGCAAAGCTGCTTCATTTGCTACTTCCTCTTGTATAAGGGCCACACTGGAGCAGAAGCTGCTCCAGACCTCAGGGGACTTGGGCAGAGCAGTGGCTGTTTGTTAGGAAACCCTCCTGCTGCACGTGAAAGTGATCCATACCTGAGGAGGGATGACATAGTCAGCTACATCCCAGATCCTGGTTCCCAAGCTGGACGTGTTTGTCAGAGTTACTCCTTTCACCTTTGTGGTTACAGAACTGACCACAGAATCTGTTTCCTGGTAGCCCTTCTCCCACAGAAAGACCCAACTGCAAGAGAAGGATTGCAAGAAAAAACAAACACCATAAGCTATCACAGGCAGTACAATTTCTCCTTTTTTCCCTATGTCACTTGAAAGGGCCAGTCCAGATAGTGTCACGCTGTTTTCCTGTGAAAGTGTCACAGGACCAGCAACCTCCCTGCTGACTTTTTCAGAGTCGTTTGGTACTGTCGATCTTCTAACCCTTTTTTCTTGAGGTTTGATAGTCCCAACTTCTACAGTACTAAGACCAAGCTTCTGTAGGAGGAAAGAAATCTAGTTCTGTTGCTTCTCAAGAAAAACACACAAATACAAACCCTAAGAACTTGAATAAAGAGGAAGCAAATGCAGAGCCCAAATCTGGAGTTTTAAATTCGATTTTAGGCCTGACTGGAAGTGGTTCATGTCTGAGTTCAGTCCCATTACTGTGCATGAGCAAGCACGCGCACACACGCGTACCAGGTGAAGATCACTCCAGAAGAGAGGAAGTATCACAGAGCTCTGGAGCAGTCTCCCTTCGTGAGGGCAAGCGTCCTGCCTGCGGCTGCCTCTAAGCAGACCTACAATCACCAGGCAAATGCCAGGCTGCCCAGTTCAACTCTCAGTACAGTCAGGATGGCTCCTTTCTGCTATCTAGGAGTTGGGTCAGGCCCGTCAGTTCTGGTTTACATGGCCTCTCTTTGGACTGTTGTTTAGGCATTGAGCTAGATAGGAAGAGATCTCCTTTTCTTGTACATTTAACAAATAAGGGTAAGAGATAAAGAGGAGACTCGACATATACCCTCCCAGCAAGAGGAGAGGAGCAGAGAGGTGAGAAAGCAATTCTGAACTCCCAGCACGACCAGTTATTGCAGTTATTGATTTTCCTAACTACATGGCTTAAAGTTAAATAATAAGTACAGTTTTGAGGTTTCAACTGACATTTAGTGTAAAAGCTATACAATCACATCCTTTGCTGCTAGTGAAGGATCGATCTTTTTAGAAAGCATCTCAGGACAACCAGAAGTTAAGTTTAAATCTGTAGTTTGCACAGATGCGTGTGTGGTTTTTTTTTTTTTAAACTAGAACAGCCCACAACGAGACACCAGTAAAGGAGGAAGATGTTACGTGCAGCAAAATCTTTGTTACCACGAGCAGCACCAATTTTCTCCTTGCTCACGGGGATGGGACCTCAGGAATAATTCTACCAGTACGATACTAACCGGTGGCCTCTCTTGATCTCAAACATCACAAATAAGGAACAGGCTGTCCTACCACTTGGTGGTCAGGTCTTTCCTCATGAAGTTAAGAAAACATTCTTTGAATATCGTGTGGTTTTTCGGGTTTGGTTTTTTTTTTTTTTCCGGTTGGTTGGTTTTTTAAATTAAAAACTCCTCCTGCGTCCGTTTTTACCCTTCCAGTGCTGGCAACTTTTGACTTAAACTAGAACCCGCTTAAGAAACGGCTCGTCCCCGCCTGTGGCCAAGGTGTCCC